TCATCGAGGCAGTCCACTGCCCTTTAATGATTTCTTCACAAACGCAATGTCCTGTTGAATTTTCAGCCAATTTCTTGCATTATTTTGGACATATTCTTCAGGGTATTCTTTGAGTAGCATGCCTTCTAGTTGTTTGTTTACAGACCCCTGCTCTGTATCAAAAGCTGCTTCCCTAGACCTCAGTTCTTGTTCAACTTTAGTTGCTGATGTTTCTAATGCTTTTATTTTGTTCTTCTTCTCTTGGAGCTTCATCTTTTCGTCAGGATGTCGCGTTATTTCGCCACAGAAAAATACTGACTCGCACTTTTCCATCTGACAACTGCGAACAGTATGATTTTGGTAATGGCAAGTACTGCATCGTTGGCCGGTAAGGTTTTTTTTGCAAGCAGCCTCTTTTATTCTTCAGTAAAAATCTTCAAGCACTTTTCGTTTTTCAGCTGCTTCGGTAAGTTTTTCCTCCACAGCGCGACGTTTTTCTTCGATGAATCTTTCTCCTGGGGACAGTAATTTTCGTCTTATCGTTGGGCGCAAGACGCTGAGCAGGCAAAACAGAGCGGGATTGTAGCCATAGACAGCTGTTTCGCCCTCTTTAAGGCTCATCAGTATGACGTAACAACCAGAGATCAGGTTTTAATGAAAAAATGCTGCGCACTCTGATTTTAGCTCTGACCCAGAACTCTTAACACCCACAGAATCACGCCATACCACGTGTCTTCTGGGGGCAAGAGTCCCAGTGTCAAGTTGATGTCTTGCAGAGTTAATAAAGAATTGGCCAACACTAAACTAAAAAACATGGACAAAACCATGCGAAAATAACAGCATATCGGATCTATAAAAGATCTTTTGCCCAAAATTCATAAAGTTACAAACATTAACCACAAGGGACTGCAAAAGACCGCAAACGAATATGTCGAAGAACGTAGGATCTATAAAGACCTGATCAGCATTGAAGGTGTTATTTAAAAGGTGGTGTAAATCTGGATTGAGATAAACAATCAAAAATGGGTGTCGCAAGTCACGTGACAAAGATAAGACATTAGCAATAATGAAAAATAAATGCTTTTAGGGAGTAGATATGAAATTTAATTTTTTATGCAAAAGGTAAAAACCCTATTAAAACAGACCCCCCCCCCCCCCCACCCACCAAATTTGCAGTGCCCCATTCCTTAATTCGCCGGAGACCCTGTTTTTGGTTTACTTGGTCTTCCAATGGCCCTCTGTTACACTGCTTCCTTGCTGCATTTTCTCCAGATTGTGGACATCCATTCATTTTGGATTTCTATTCTATCATCCTGTGCGAGTTCAGTGGGTTAAAGACGAAACCAATTTGGCCCGTGTATGAATCAGCGAAGGTTAGGATCTATAACATTGGTATCTTTACAGAGAAGGGCATGTCCGGTGGCGTAAACTGAAGAGGTTTAGGTAATGACGATTTAGATGTTTCGTTTATGTTCCTTAATTCTGTCTTCAATTTGATCAGTATCTTTTCTTCTTAGCCCACTGGAATAGCGATTGAAAGGGTAGAACCTTAGACAGAAAAAGTGGAAGTGATCTTGAACTCTTTCTTAGTAGACAACTTAGAGGATGAAATCACAGACAATGAGGTTATATGGCAGATCATGTCTTTCATTTGTCACAAGTACAGTATCAAAACATTCATTACGCAGGGAAAGGTTTCATCCTTTTACTTGGAGTGCGTGGAATAGTCTGTTAACTGAGACTTACTTTGCTTTCTTTACCTTCCCCTCTGATATCAATTATGTTACGCATTCTGTATAGATGACTGTTGGCTCTTTCTTGTAGATGAGGGTTATATCATCTCTGTCAGGTTGGAACTCTTGAACTTCCACGTGATACCATCCAGCTTTCCAGCCACTTTCCTTGACTTTGTCATTTGACCATTTAATCTTCAGAGAGGCACCAATTACTGAAATCTGATCATATAGATCTGGTTCCTTGCAAGTGGAAATATAAAGTCGCAGGGTTCCTTTTTGTACACATTCCTCGACTTTGACTCGGTATACTCTTCCTGGCTCACTGATGTATTCAACCTCAATCATGTCGAGCTCTTTCACATACTGTTTGATGATGGCGGTGTACCACTCTGGTTTCCAGCCTTTTGTTTCATCTTCTTTGGTCCATTTTACCATTACTCTGCCTGTGTTGCTTCTTAATGCATTCAGATTGTATGGATCATATCTTTGGGCAGAATCTCTGTTCAAAAGTGCAACTTCTTGTTTAAGATTGTCAAACATATTGTCCAAAGTAGATAGAGTTATGCCTCCAGTAACTGGTACTTTAACATTGTTGTTCCTACTTGACTGCCCAGCTGCTTTTCTGGGCCTCCATGATGAAAGGTGGTTCCCCTCAGGTGTTGGAAAGGCTCTCTTCCGAACAATAAACTCGTTATTCACAATCTTTATCTCCTTTTGAGCAGATATCAATTGTTTAACTATTTCAACCATCTCCAGTATTCCGTCCCTCTCTCTTTGGAATAAGATGTGTGTCGTTCCAGTTCGAAGTGCCAGAACTCTAAGGGCTAACTGGTCTTTACTTCCCGACCAAGGAATGTTGTAATAGTGCAGAAATCGTTTTAATGTGTAAACAGGAAGTTAAGTGATTTCCTCTAGCTGGATGGGTATGGCACTTAGGTCTCCATCATATTCCTCAGTTTCGGGGGGGTTCCTCTAGGTCAAGCTTCTTGCATAGCTTTTCCACTAACCTGCTCTTGGACTCGTCGTTACCCAAGTTATGCTTTCGGCACATCTCCTCCAGCTAAGTTTTTGATTTTGCAAAGAGGTCGTGGGTTCTCCAACGAGCTAAATGAAGAGTGTTTTCTAAATCCCTTACAGCATCTTCTTTTCTTTTAGTGAAATGGTTTTCTACTTCTTCTACAAAGCACCAGCTTAAAAGGGCCAAATCATTGTTCAACCTGCTGCTGATGAAAGGCTGAGTGAGATAAAGTAAATCCAAAATCTTGGAGGGCAAAAACAACTCTTCGATATCACCCCATACTTCTTTGGTTACAAATTTCGCTCTTCAAAAGTCATATAATGTTGTTCTCCTCCTGTTAGATACCAGCGCACATAATCTGGAATTGGCTGCCTCCATTCAAATTCTGGAGCTGTCTCCTCCTCAAAGATAACGGTGGTATATTTATCTGTCCATGCTGTTCGATGGTTTGTGGCATGATTGTTTTTAAAGATATCGTAATCCTCGGCATAACTGCCAGCCATGCTCATGTCCACATTCCAGACACGATTCAACTCTTTCAGAATATTTGAAGGTTTGTTAAGTTCGTATTGCATGTCGCATTTTGCTTTGCGATTTTCATTCATCGCCAAGAATGCATGGAGGTTTGCGACATCATCAAAAACAAAGCTCTTTTCACAGCCAACTCCCTTCATAACCGTCGTGTACTTCCCAGCAAACTTTGCTCCTTTCAGCACATCCAAGACACTGTCGCTCATTTCCTCAATTTTCGTTTCATGCTCTAACGTATCGACATTTAGGAGGGGAACGTTGAATGGCCCATGTTTTTGAAGCTCTTTTGTGTGTACAGCGTGGACTCGCTTGACTGCATTTCTTTTGGTATGATATTCGGCGAAAGATATCTGAACAACTGCTTTGAGTCTTAACAAGCGCTGCAAGCGAACAAGAAGCATCTGCACTAGTGGACTGCGTGGTTTTTCAATTCCATTGTCCACGACTGAAACAAAAACGTCTTTAATTTTACCTATTTCATGGTTTTGGAAACATATCCAGTGCAACTCCTCTGCGTGTCCAACATCATCATCTGCCTGTGAAAATGATTCTGCTTCCTCCTCAAGCATTTTCCTAACAATGGTTTTCTGTTCTTCAGAAATTTCCTCAGTGTCAACACTAGGGATGTGACTACATGGCGGCTTTTTGGTCTCAAAATCTTCCTCTTCTTTCCTCTGCTCTGTACAACAGTTGCCACTACTTCCACTTTCACTCGACATATCAACTGTCGAAGGACCATCAGGAGTAGGAACAGGTGTTCCCTTCAGCTTAGCTTCAAGAGGAGTAATCGACTTTACTTGTTGTAGGCGTCCCAACACTGTCCGACCTTCCAAAACAACAACATGCTTGGATGGATTGTTTACACGAATATTTACTCTACATGTTGAAGCACCTGTAACAGTTAATTAAGCTTCTGGTAGTTCAAGATCAGAAGGGTAGGACGACTCTGGATCGAGTTCAAATAACACTGGGACCTTGCCAACTGGACCAATTGCTGCTCGACATGAAACAATAACTGACTGCCCTTTAGGGATCAACGCGTCCTGTTTCCTGGACTTAATACTGCACAATTCTTGTGCAAACTCTGTCCTAATGAGGTTAACAAGAGCCTCCACCTTTTCTTTTTCAACACCAGTTAGACTTGAGCTAAGGGCATCCACCACTGATTCTCCCACCCCAGCTGATGCACAATCTACGGGCTGTTTAATGATCTCCTCTATAACATTAAACCCAACAATTGGCATGTCAAGCGAATCTTTGGTAACTAAAAACAGTACTTGTAATGAGCGTTGTAAGTTTTCCTTGACAAGACTAACCAGTTACTTGGGATAATTGACACTTGAGCTCCTGTATCCCATAAGGCCTCGGTTTCAACCCCATTTAAAAGACACTTCACTGTACACTTCCGCCCAACAAGACAAATCACTTGTGCATGTTCCTGCGGTGATAAATAACTGACAAATGTCTGCAATCTCTTCCTGTCTTCTCGATAATTTTGGTCTGCCAAACTTGATATAGCTTGACAAAGTGTCTTATGTTCTTTCCAGTAATCTGCTTGACATGCTTTGCTACAATATCTCACAGCCTTGCAACCACTACACTGTTTGAAAGGGATATTCACCCTCTGTTTTCCCACAGAACCAACAGGCTTGAGTCTTGTAACCACTTATATGCACTGAGCCAGAGAACTTATTTTTAAACGGTGCAGCTCAAACATGTCCAGTTTCGTGACTAGGCTTCTTTTATGTCAGTAACTGAAAGGCAAACTCTTCGTGACAGAAACAAGAATGTCCAGTTTGAGTCATGAGTGTAAATCCTGCACCTAAGTCCTGGCTTAGTAATCCAGTTTATCACATGGAATGGGGGTATACCAGTGGGGGAAACAGTGAGATTGTTTTTTTTAAAAAAACAAACAAACTAACTAAGACTGTGACACCGTAACCCAAGTATTCTAATGTACCTTGTGCACTTGTACAGGGTCCAGGTTGGTTGGGACTGAAATGTGTTTCCGTCAATTTGGGTAAAACAGGCTGCTTGCTTGGCAAGATTGGAAATCTGTAAAAATACCTTGGAGTCACAGTTCAAAGAAAGTTCATTGTTTGAGAGTCTCTCACAGTGTCTCTGATTACAATCCATCTTTTTTACAAAGAAGGAAAATAAAAAAAAGATAAGAATTTAATGTGAATAATAATTAAAATTTAAGAAACAACCTTACAGATAATATTACTATAGTGATGTACTGTTCAGGTATAACAATAATAGTGACCAGTCAGTTGTTTCCTCCAGGAAATATAATGGAAAGATTATAGGATTGGCCTGAAAAGGTCATTAACGGGGGTGGGGAATTTGACAGTGCTGTACTGCAACAAAATAAGGGCTTTTGTTCTTAGTGTGACTTCAAATGCCAGCCTAATAGTGATGAATATGGCAAAAAGCTTTGAAATAAAAGTAATATTAACCCAGGATATCCAAGTCCCTTGTTCTCTTACCTGAGGCTGATGAAGTACAGGAACCAAGGTAATTGATGTCATCAAGGAAGGGTAGTTTCGAAAACGAGGACCAAGCAAAAAGCACCCAAAACTCGAAAACGAAACACCCAAATCTCGAAACCACTGTACGTTGAAGGACAACAACTTAAAAGTCTTGCATGATGCAAGCCAAACCAGGTGGAGACAATGGATGCATCTGCACCTCCAAAGGTCCACCAATCCATCTCACGGAGCATTTGATTTCTCGCCTGCAGATGTAGGGCGGTATTGATATTTATCGGTTGAGCCCTTCTTTCCTGCCACCCTTTTGTCTACATAAGCCTCTGTTATAGCACTTCGCGAGCACTTACGACGATCACTGGTCTTACCAGTAAACTTCAAGTGTTCGTTAAGCTGGCATTCTAACCTTCTTTGCCCCTACAATTTATTGAATGTTTGTTTGTTTGGATGTTTACGTAAAAGGTTTAAAATGGCCAAGGATAGTAGTTCTCTCGTCCGTCTACAAAAGCGGGAAGGTCTGAACATTCGGCCACGTTTATTTCTAATTGATTGTGTTTCAAATTGATCACGCTCACCACCGACAAGCCCTGACTGTTACCGCTGTCCTCCCTTATATTGTTTAGTTTGAGTTTTCCAAAATCTGCGTGTCCAACACAAGCAGTACGTTGTTTTAATGTTTTTGCCGATTTTCAAAGTTTTTTCCAACCTGAAAACTTGGGGTTTGCACTTAGCGATGAGGGGGGCATAAGGGGGTACGAATACCGCAATACCGCACATGGTAGCATGAGAATACGGCAATACCGGATCAAAATTTAGCCAAATACCGAAACCGCAGTTACAAATGGGAAAAAGTTGGTGTTGTCAATACTTCAAATCCTCCTTTCAAATAGAAATAATACTTTTATGTCAGTGTTTCCAAATCTAGGTGCGTCGATGGCAAGTGTACAATAAACATAAGATCATCGCGCTCGTTTAACTTTGTTCATTACATGTATACGTTTATGTAAATGATACAACAGGAATTTTCTAGTATTACTTTATATATTACTGGTCCTGGATCATAAACGGACGGAAAACAGTTGACTCTTATGGGGTTGTTTCAGATTCACAATTAACTCGGTTCTGTGTTGAGGGTTTCAAAACGTCGATCCCAGCTGCCCTTTGGATTCTAAGGGCACACAGCACACACTAGCCTGCGTAGTGTAGCGGTTTTGATTGGGCGCAATAATAAAGGCAGGCGTGGGCGAGGAGATTGGAGCAGGAGCTGCTTTGCCACTCACAGTTGTACTGCCGACAAAAGCATGTAAAACTGCCATGCCCGGTGGGGGTACTTGGGTTAATTTTTGCCTGGTATGTGCCGCTGGCCTCTCAGAGCCCCTAACCCATTATAGTCTACTCTATGGCCAATTATAGACCCCATCTTAGTCACTTTTGAACAAATATTTAATTTTCGCGATCCCAACTTCCTCACTTTCTATTTTTATGAATTGACCATGTTTTAGATTGAATGAAGAACACTTTACTTTTCATCTACAATACAAACATTCTGGTACCTTTGCTAACCGAAAATATGAAGAACTGTCTTACCCCAAAAAGCAGAAAATGTGCGACCCCATCCAGCGGCACATCCTCATTAGCCTCTCATCAGGAAGTACCCCTCCCCCCCAACCCTTGGGCCGCCATGCTATGTAGGGTAAGCACACACGAATACTAGTACATTCTATATTCCTGCATGCACAACAAGAAGGACGAGTAGTAATTTTTAGACCACACTATCTTCATAGATTATCTTTCGACACTACGTAATTTATAACAACCTCACTGACCTCATTATTTGCTGGAATATCTGACTGATCACTTAGTTGGCCCTCTGGATCGCTCACCATTGTTTTGCGACTGGCGCGAAAGTGGTAAGATTGGTAAGGAGGTTAACCTAGCTGACTATTCCCACGAGGTCCATGAAAGAATAAATAATGCCACATGTTTACATATCATTGGATAGAAAAGTTAATGTCGTTAATCATATCTGGTATGAACTGAAATTACAAGCCATACGATTTGTCTGCACTGTTCCGGCAATACGATCTCCGACTGAGCAACTATGGGAACACACGCGGGTCACGCAGGCTAGCCAGGGAGACCTTTTAGGATTTGTATCCTCTTGTCATGAAAAAGAAGATCACCGCGACACAATGATTTTTTCACCGTCTACCGCGACATAAAATTTAAACTTTCCACACACCGCTTGGACTCTGAAAACCGCAATACCATACTTTGAAACAAAAATTACCAGAACACCCCACCAAAAATAACCCAATACCGCAAACTCTTATGCCCCCCTCAGCAATGTCCACTGTTGACAGACTTCTACCTCAAGGTAGTGCGACCCATACCTTAGACAGGGTAGCCTAAGTGTAGCCGCTCCCTCCCTCCGACAAAAGAAAAACCATATAAACTCTTCGAAATATTTTTCAATTTTCCTGATAAACTGTAAAATTCGTCATAAATCTACTACTTGGAAGGAACTAATTCGAAAATCACTGTTTGCCCATGTTCAGGAATATCACAGAAATCACGAAAAAAAGAAGAGTTTATTTGGGGGAAGCTGTCACAAAATTACAGACGTTTGTATGGACATTTAACCATGTTTCAAGAGTCACAACTTGATCCCTGTTCAATCTTAGAGCACCATATTGATAGTTTAAATCTGATACTAGCCCCAGTGCCCTACGCAACTCCGAAATGGCCAATACTTGGGGCGACGGAAATGCATTTGCAACACCTCGTAGTTCTACTTGAATAGTTTTGAACTGCATTCCATTTGTTATTGTGCTTGATTCCTGCTGCTGGTGACTTGACAAGGGACTGTCTCGTGTTTTTAAAGGACAGACAGGTTTCGAATTTTGGGTGCTTCGTTTTCAAGATTTGGGTGCTTTGTTTTCGAATTTTGGGTAATTTGTTTTCGACATTTGGGTGCGCCGTTTTCGAGTTTTTGGTGCCCCATTTTCGAGTTTTACGTGCTTCATTTTCGAGTTATGGGTGCTTCATTTTCGAGATTTGGGTGCTTCCTGCTTCGGTCTTCGTTTTCGAAACTACCATTAAGGAAGCTGTGTTGTGGCCTCGCAGGTTGTTGTGCCGCTGAATGTCGAAAAAATTAAGTTAAAGAAAACCTTATTGAACCAGTTGTAAACTAGAATGTAAAAGCCACTTAAGCTACGCCAGAAAGTCCGCTAAATGCAAACTCACTAGCAGGATGATCTAAGATGTTAACCAACACTACATCTCTTTGCTGCTCTGATGAGATGTCGATACAAAAGCACCGAAAAATAAGACTCACACACCTTTGTCACATTTTGTGACAATATTATTCCCACAATTTGAGCGAAACCTGCTTGTGTCTTGTCTCTTATGTCCACAGTTTGAGTAAAACATGCTGTTTGCCTTCTGCTTGCCAACAAAGATGGCAGGAACATGTTCACTGCACCGATGATGCATTTCCCGCAAGCTCGATCCAGTCCCTTATCTCGTGTTGTTTTCGATTTACAAGTGGAGTTTAGAATTGGGAGAGAATTTCCGAATTTGGAGTGGTATTTTCAAATTGGAAGTGTTGTTTTCGAATTCAGAGATGAGTTTTGAAATTAGGAGTGTCATTTGGAATTTGGAGTGGAGTTTTAGAATTTGGAGTGAATTTTTTTACGAGTGAACTTTTAGAATCAGGAGTAAGTTATTGGAATTTGGGGTGTGTTTAAAGATAA